CATTTTGTTGTTGTTAAGCTGAAATTTGCAACGAGCGACATGCGGTTATAATTTCCGAAAGCGGATTAAGTTAGTGAAAAGAAGCAACAGAGAGGGTGGTAGTGAGAAATGGCGATGATTTTCTAAAACTAATTAAATTACAATTAAAATTTAAATTGTAAAATTGCCAACAGAAAATGTAATTCAACATAAGATGTTGCCGAATTTAAAATGTTGCTAAGTTCTTATGCGTGCAACCGCGTCCACCAATATGCCGCTGCTGTTGCTACAAATATGCGTGACTCATCATGTAATGTATGCGATGGGTACAGTAGCCCCGTTTTTATTTTTCTGCTGCATCCATGAGAGAGCAATTTTTTTTGTTTCCGATAAATACTTTATTAATATTAGGGCAAGTAAAAAGTCATCCAGCGTTTTTGCAATAGGTGGCTTCAGTCATATGCGTGTATCGTTGCTGAGATGGAGACTGCTGATGAAAAGTGGATCACTCACAGCAACTTCAAGCTTCGAGGCAAGGTTTTGGTGTATGTTTCGGTGGGATCGGTAAAGAATTAACCGCTGGATCACTAACATCAATATTCACTCCAGGTTCTTCTGCGCATTCAATTTATTTCAAAAATGAGAGATTACTAGACCTAATATAATTGAAACTCGGTTTGTTCGTTGGTTGGTCAACCGATACAACAAAGAGTTGGCAGTTTTTCTCTTATAGCTTTCAGAAGGTAAATGCTGAACTACCAGAATACCATCCCTCATCAAACCCCGACACGAGTAAAATAAAATATTGCTAATCAGAAACTGTGGCAGCACACGAACTCATATTGACAAATAAGAATAGCTTAATGAAAAGTAAATGCATATGTATGTATGTACAAGTACATATTTCCTAAAGGACCAAATAATCAACAACTCCAATTCCGTTCATTTGTACTTTACCCGACCTCAACAACACCAAATGCCCAGCCAAAATTGCAAACAGCAAATGAAACCATCTCGCCTGCCAGATGCTAGAGTTGATAATAACAGTAAATGGAAATGTAGTTAAATGAAAAGAAAGTGCTGTTTGGCGAAACCGCGACAGCTATTGCCACTATTGCCGACAACAAACCGTTCAACGGCATCATGTCAGCAGCAAAAGTACTAAATGCCAACAACACAAACAAAAGCACAAAAAATACAGAAACAGAAACAGAAACAGAAACCAGAACACTTGCAGAACCCCAATTGTTGGCTGAACCGCAGCTGCCGCTATCGAGATTACCAAGTTTCGTTCGTGCCTCCACCCGCCCATCGTCGTCGCCAGCCGCCTTCAAATGCTTCACAATATTTTTGCATTTAATGCAAAACTTTTGCTGTTGAAATTATTACTGACACAAATGCAAAAACAAAAAGGAAGAAAAACCAAAAAAAAAAAATTTCAAAAAACTCCCAAACACGAAATTTACTTACAAATTTATTTATTTATTATGCGAATTAAGTTACATTTTCCATTAGTTATTTACTCGGTGTGTGAGTGTGTGTGTATGTGTGAGTGTGTGTATGTTAATCTGCGATTTGTTGTAGTTGTTGCTCTGGCTGCGTTGTTTTTTGCGCGCTGCTTGTAGCTGCTCGTAATTGTGGTAATCGCTTGGCAACAACACAACAGCAGCACACACACACACACACACACACACACACACACACACACACACACACACATGGAACGTTTTAATTGAGATGATTTACCTTTTTTGCGGTAATTAAGTCGCAATTACATCGCCGCTTTTTCGCAATTATGCACAAAAGTAAAAAGTATGAAAGGCAAAAACAAGAAAAAAGACAATTCAGTTCAAGCGCCGCAACAAAGCGGTCTCCGAAAGGTGAGAATAGTTGCTGTCGTTGGTGCTATATTTCCATTGCCGCATTTGCAAGGATGAGACTGCAATACGAGAGTTTTGTACATATGTATGGGCGTAAGTTAGTGTTCGCTTCTAATACAACCAACACCTTCACACCAACACTCTCACTTACAACAACATACATTAATACATAATTAAAGGTGTTTGTGCTCTCTACGAACCATTTAGCTGGTGCTTATGAGTACAAACGTCAAATGCTTCAGCAGTGCAACAGCCCATGCAGAAGCACCCTTTTGCCAAAGCGACAAAGTAGATTTATTGGTGTTGTTGCTGCTATGGTACGCTTGTGCTGCCTGGTTCGTGGTGGGGTTGGATGCTGTGTTAAGTGGCGTTTCAAAAGGCTCCCCTCTGCTTACGACCGCATGCTTCTTTTCAGATGGAATTCCAAAAATATCTCTGGACTAAAAAACTTTCCAAGAAATCCCTTTGTTTGGTTTTCATAGAAACCTATAATGCAGCATGTGAACATCAAAGATATTTTATCTTTTCTTCAGTGGCGTAGACCCGAGATAGCCGAGTTAACAAAATTGCACCATTCATTCCTACAGCCGGTTCCTGCTCCAACTGATATCTCCAACGGATTTGAAGCCTTGCTCTTCCTCTACCAGAACGATACGCTTCGCTTCCTTATCCAGTCTGGAGAAAGCAGCAGTGATATCAAAATCATTGGCATAGGCTAACAGTTTTACACTCTTATAGAAGATTTTACCTTCTCTATTCAGCTCTGCAGCAATAGATTAATAAAGTCACACGATAAGGAGCCACTATGTCTGAAACCTCGTTTAGTATCAAACAGTTTGAAGTATTTTTATGAGGAGTTTTTATTTCTCCAAGACCAAGACTCAACCCCAGACTTTCCGAATGGCAGTGCAATATGATTTATTTGCTACATTGTAGAGGTTTATCCCACGGCGATTTCCGCAGACTGTGAGGTCCCGTTTTTTGTGGGTTGGGCAGAACTCTCTTATGTTCTTATTATCTCCAACCCACCACATTTTGTAAAGAGTCTGAAAACACGCTCCTTGTCAGTTCTTTACCGCCGTGTTTGAATAGCTCTACCAGTGATCTATCGCTCTCTGCGGCTTTGTTGCTTTCCAAAAGGCGATTGCTATTAAAATTTCCACCTAATCGTACATTGAAGCATCGATATATCGTCGCCTTTTAGTGGAATCGATTTCGCCATCTCTTGGTACTACATATTTATTTCCAACGGACTACGGTTGTTTTCTGCCTTTAGAGTCCAACAGGTATTTGTTGAGTGTTCCAGATATTTTTCGAAAGTGTTAATTATTCTCACACTCATCTGTTGAAATGAAGGGTACAAAGAGCAATATTTACAAAGGACAAGCCACCTCAAACGTGCACTGCCCTCGGTATGTTAATCACGAGTTGATCAGTTTTAGACACTCATTCATATAAGTGTGACACGTGTTTGAGATCCAGAAAATGTTCCCTTTCCTTTGGAAGTGTTCTTACTAATTTTGACGCTTGGAAATTGTACATTAAATACAGGGTTATGCCTTTTGTAGTTTCGAAAATAAACTTAAATAAAAAGAAAAGAGACCTACGAGTATGTACGTATTTGAGCTTATGAATGGGTAGTTGACTATAGTTGAGCTGGACTTTATATGGTTGACAGTTCACTTGGAGGAACAATCCAGTCTCTCCAAATTTCATAAAGTTTTACCAATACCTTGATTAATTGGGCGAATAGATTTCAATGGTTTCTAAGCGCTCGATTTTCATAAATAGACTAAACTAAACTGGTTTTTTTATAGATTCCTTATAGATTCCAAAATACAGCCCTGTACTTTTGAAACCACGAAATGGATAGCCCCACTTTACATTAGTCAATTTGCTGCGCTCATTAATTTTTATTAGTTTTTATGAATTTAAAAAAAATCAACAGGGTTGACAGGTTCAATGGAATTAATCGTACAAAATTTATGAATCTTGGAAAGGGAAAACTTGAGTTAGTTCCTTACGGGTGTGAAGAAAAAGTGAAAACATCGATTTGGTGATTCACCCGCATTTTCATGGTCACGAACTCAATAACATTAAAGTTTGTGGTTTATTTCATCAGAGCCAGTTGAAATTTAAAAGTAAAATGGGTTCTAGGTTCAAAAATTAGTTTAAAAATATTAAGCAACTGTTCGGGCATTTTCACCATCCAATAAATAAAATGAAAATCCTTTACACTATTTTTTATTTTTAAAGATTTACATGGGTTCAAATCTACAACATCTCCAGAATATATATATATATATATATATGGTTGGAGCTTTGTAACCGCTGAAGCGATTTTTCGGCTCCGGGTTAATTTCATTTATCTCTTTTCTTGCCATTTAATTCCGCTTCTGATTTCCTACTGGAGCTCTTGCCTCAGTCATGCAAGACGATTGCAGCACAGCCGACGTCGACAGTGACATCGCGCTTCGCCACCAAGAAAGTGGTCAAGTGCAAGAACGATCGGCAAAGTAAACAACACAAAACTCAGAAACAAAGAAGAGAATTAAAAACGAAACAAAAATCGTACAACCAACCGCACGAGCACCGGAGACGGGATGCTCCGCGAGCGCAGCAGACGAGCATCATCAGCCAGATCCGCAAAGACTGAGAGGCTGCAAACCGGTGAGAGTAGCAGCCAAGAAACATAAATACAATATTATATACACAATCGTACACATATAACAAGAAATGTGCCAACATAAGTTGACAAGCTGGTAATCAGGTATGCACAAGCAGAATAGATCGGTAAATATTGAAGAAGAAAAAAGAATAACAACAGCAAAAACAAAACAAAAATAAACACATGTGCCGTCCAAATGAGCGAACGTTGGACCTTTACGCTGTGCGGACGGACATCCATCCATAACGCTCGCCCGCATGGCCGAGGGAGGAATGTAAAGATGAACTGGCACCGCTACAAGAAGCCTCACGCAGCCGTACAAATACACAAACATAGTTACGTATGTAAATGAAATAATAACACCAACAACATGCAGTAGGCAAACGAGCAATAAAACTCAAAACAAAACAAAAATACCAACAAATGCGCCGAAGCTCTCCACTGTGGTCAGATCTCAGCTAGAAAACGATCGACTCTGTATTGTAGTCGAATCTGAACCTTCGACGCTGCCACAAGTTAACTGCTTTGAGTGCTCCTACATATTGGGGCTGCTTGGCTATTTTGTTCGCATTCAAGTGTCGGCCAAATCTCGATGCAAAAGAGCTGGAAACGCGGCGTAGTTTGAACACTTCGGTCTAATCGTGAATTCTACCAACACTGGACAGTTTGGTTTGTTTTCAAAAACGCTGCGCGATACGCAGTATAGAGAGAAGGGAAGTAAAAGTGAGAAAAAAAGTGCGAAAATCAGCGAGAGGTGTGAGAAAGTGAAGAAAAAACGCAGATTTTAAATTTAATGGTGTTGACGTCTCACAGTTTTTTTTCGAAATTTTCATCAATTAAGTGTATAAAAATATTAACAATTTATTATGAGAAAAATAATGAATCAATGACCAATAAATTGTTTTATTAAGCGGTTTTCGAAGGTTACTAAAACTGTAAATTTGACGACGACTTTGAGTGAAAACATACAAACATCGTAAATTAAGTTCGATAAATAAAACACGCAGAAGGTAATAGTTTACATATTTGCATATAATTAACAATTTTATGGAAATATTTTCGTGAATGTTTGTGTCGTTTTACAATTAAGCCATAAACGAATTAATTAAAGGCTTAGAGTTGAAGAGGAAACTCGAAATATGCAAATTCAACAGAAAATATAATTTTAATATCTATTCAATTTATTTAATGTCAATCTATTAGTGATTCCAAATCCCCAGGTACTCGGTTCGGCTGCAATCACCAAATCTTAACAGTGCATACTATCATTCAGAAGGCCAGGGTTTGAGTCCTGGTCTGTCCAACATATCCAATCAATCCAAAAATAATAATTTTGCTAATTATGATCGCCAAGCCTTATGACATGAAATAAAATCCTTGGACCGTTCGGGGCTGCTTGTTCCTTTTCTGGACAACATCAAAACGTTCTGCACTGGAAGAAGCGCTCGACCGAAAACAGCTTCAACCGTTACAAAGTGCCAAAAAAGTCATATTATATAATTTATGTATGTCATTCATACTGACGTTCAGTTTTGCGATTTGCTTGTTGCAGTCTTCAATGTTCAACCTTTGGAAGCCTCACGCCGACATTTCCTTTTGTATCATCAGTTTTGCTTTTTGGCTTTTTATTAACTTATTTTTGAGGTTCTGGCCATTGAACGTTATATGTCCCACAGTTAAATTTGAACCATTTGATCATCATACGATGAAGACATGCTATAGCGAGGTCCTAAAACGCATTACAGCTGAGGATGGAGTCTACGTATTTTATTTAGGAGCTTTGGATTTTTTTTCAGCTTCGTCTCCAATACGAAAATGCGTCAAAGTCGATCTAATGCTTAAAAGAATGTTAAACCCTTCGAAATTTCTCGAAAGAGGTCATTGTATTATTAGGAAAACTCGTTGATTTTTCACCACAATATTGCACCATCTCATTAGACTGGCATTGTGAACAAATTCGCCAAAAATTCAATAAATCATTCCGAATAACCGTCGCCTTTCCTCAGAACGCTCTTACTGAGTCCTTTTCTCTTTACAAAACTCAAACCAAAGGGAGGCAACTTTATTTACTCCACAAAAGGAGTAAAATGGAATTTCAATATTATCTTGATGCTTCAACTTTTATTTGGTCATATGTCATGGAACGGATAAGAAAGATTTTGTGATTTACTCACTAAGTCCCGGTATTTTTCTGATGGAATGTATTAGCAGAGTTTTGTGTGACAGTTGACAGAGAAGAATTTCAACTCTACGCGTGCATGAAATGATCTATTGCCTTTGGAAGTATGTAAATAACAGGAGAAGAAGGGACCCATCAGTACTCCTAGTTGAGCTGAGGATTACTATAACAAATATACCACCGATTTGAGGTTGTGGATTATAAATTCCTAAAAGAAGCATCTGAGATCGCTCAGATAATGAATCGCGCATTGAAATCGGATATCTTCCCAATCGGAGAGCTACATCCATTGGACGCCATACAAAAAATTTGTTTAAAAGCTAAAATTAAAGGCCATGTTGTTGATATGATCGTGGAAGACATATATCCTCATTTTTCCCTGGTTTTATGTTTGATAGAGTATAGCCTCTTGTTCTGCCTGAAAATCATCTTTCCAAAGGACCTGCGTATTCTTTTATCTCTCAATCTAAGCAACATTATTATTCCCAAAATTTACTTACCCCTACGAGTACATACGAAAGACATAAACATTTATATATATTTATAAATAACTACAGATCCAGATATGTATAGATGTATGTTTATGTGTATTGCCAATCACTTGAGCCACAATAAACGCCAGCGGCAGAAGCGTATAAAATGGGCCGATCACGCGTCGCGTTCTAACCCGCTAACCTGCTGATTTGTGATAACCAGCCAGCAACAACTGCAACAATAACACGAATTCTCTTTTAATGTTTTTATTATTGTTGTGCGCCAAATAATTAATTTGATTATTGTTATGATTCTCCAGCTCAGCCTGTCATTTGGTCAGTCGGTGCTGCCTTTTCACTGTTTTACTCGCGACTGATATTGATAAACTCTTATCTCTCTGTATGTATGTGTGTTCAGCACGCGATTTGGAATCACTCACGTGTCTCGTAAGTGACAAATCAAAGCAAATAATTTATGCACAATTTAGACACTTTCACATACAAACTAAATTTGCGCTGCAAATAAAAAGACGGACGTATGAGGCAAATGAAATATTTTTTTTTTTGCTGTAAGAAGATTTATATGTGTGTGCATATGTGGGTAGTCATGTCTGAGAATATAACAAATTTAAAATACTTATTTATTTTTTCTACTTTTAATGGAGGGCAGATAATCTTTTTGAACTTAAATATTTCGTTTGTCACAATAAATGTGCTCTCGTCGGAAGATTTTGATAACCAACATGTTCCGGTTTTCTTACAACTCAGCCTAGATGAGAAGAACGGACGGAGAATCAGCTGAAATTTCACTTGGCTTATACATTTGCAAAGTCCCTCATCAATTTTCTTAGCCTTGAACTGAATGGAGAGCCAAATAATTAATAAGAATGTCAGAGAGTGTTAAACTGACCCCTGTTTGTTAGGAGCACGGGGGTGGTGGTGATAATTGGATACTCTCTCCTGCTATTGTTTGTTCAAACAAGGCTCGTTTTGACTTCTTAACTTCTTCTTTGCCCAAGTTTTTAGCAAAAGAGCGGCTTAAATGCCGATTCATGAACGCAATTTGTATTTCTTTTAATCGTTTTTTGGTGTTGTAATAAAAAGCTTTTTTTTAACTGTTTTACTGTGATAAGAAAAAATGTGCTTTAAATTTGATTTTATTCGAACTATACTTAGCAAAGGAATTGAACCAAAGCTCGTCGCTATAATTACTTAAACAACAGCTGTGACCGAAAGTGCTCGGTAGAAAGCGGCAGGAGGGCAAGTGAGAAGGTGGCAATGAGCGCGTCTATTAGGTTTAATTGAATTTTCACACGCTTAGGTAAAATTTTAATATAACAAAACGGCAAACCAAATACTTTATACAATCAATAAACATGCATACATAGTATATATGTACATATGTATGAACTATTTCAATTTCCGCTGTTGAATAGTTGTTAAACAAATTATGAAAACTATTTTAAAAAGTAATGATAAAAGGTGAAAACCGATATTATCAAGCAAAATAACTTATATAATTTCAGCTAATGGCATTTTTGCTGTTCATCGTGCGGGAAATACACCAAATACAATTACAGTAGTTTCCAACAATTGAAAATCATTTTTATTAAAGTCATATGACCCTTCCGTTATTTTTGATCATTACATAACGTAATTGTTACTCAAAAATATCAAACTAAAAACAATTCATCAAATGAAAATTTTTACGCTACGCTAAATATTGAACATTTCCATCGGTGAAATCGTGTTGCAAGTCAATGAAATTTAATACAAATAAATTAATTATAATTAGTTAATCATAAATTGAAACTAATTCATCAGTGTGTGTATGGAAAATTCTTAAGAAAATACGGACGAGTCAAAAATTCTTCGCTATTTATTTCTTTCTTATGTTTGGAAAGCAACAGGCACACAAAGTTACCGTAAGACTTGCATTACAAAATCATTTTTTCAGCTATTTTTAAATTATAATAGACACGTTTACCAAAAAAAATAACCTTACTACAACTTCGGTGCTTAAACAAATGAGTTACAACGTAATTTCTGCTCAACAAGCACATTCACCCACCCTCAACAAGCAGAATTAAATATATTTATAGTTATGTATAATCGCCGTCCGCCTTGGTTTTCCGTTTATTGGCGTGAATACAGAAATGTCCCAATGGGGAATTTGAAGATTATTTTACCAAATTAATTAAATTAAAATTTTAATATTAAATAATTCGAAATTTAATTTAAAAAATTAAATTAAATTAAATTAAAATAAACAAAATGAAACAAAATAAAATGGAAAAAATACTAAATTAAGTTAAGTTAGGTAATCTAAAAAAAAAAAAATTTTAACAAAATAATATGGAATTACATTAAAAAAATTGAACAAAATTAAATTAAATAAAATAAAACACAAAAAATAGAATAAAATACCATAATTAATAAGAATCATATAAAACAAAATAAAATAGAATACAATTTAAAGATTAAATAATACATAATGAAAAAAATAAAAGTAAAATAAAATTAAAAGTATGGAATATCAATCAAACTAAATTAAATGAAATCGACATAATTAAATTAAGTGAAACAAACATACGCTAAATTTAATTAAATAAAATATATAAGTAACTAAAATAATATTAAAATTAAAGATAAAAAAATAATTAAAATAAATTTTATCAAACAAAATTTTCTTTAATTCACTTAAATAGAACAGAATTAAGAAATTAAATGGTAAAAAACATACTATTTTATTATGTAGCAAATCAAACAAAAAAAAAGTAAATTAAAACAAAAAAAATTATATTAAACTAACTCAAACTTGATTAAATTCAAATTATTTAAACAAAATCAATAAGACTAAATAAAATAAATTATAAAATCAAAAGACTAATAAAACAAAAAATTAAATTAAATAAAATCAATTAATTATAAATAAATAAAACAAAATAAGAGTAACTTAAATTGAAATTAAATAAATAAAGAAATTAATTAAAATTAAACAAAATTAAATTATATTAAATTAAACTAAATAAAATAGAATAAAATAAAAAGGTTAACTTTAATAAAATGAAGTGCAATAAAACAAAATGAGAAAATTTGGTATATTTAAAAGTACCCATCGCACTGCTAAGTGGGTATACACGGATATGTTATACGTACATATATGTTCATACATATATACATATACAGTTATGTTATATCTTTGGGGCCTGGCTGTCTGCCAACAGATCTTTATCTCGTGCGCTTCTTTAATTTATCGCAATCCGTTCCTGTGATGAATTTAGCGGGTGAAAAGAAGCAAATTAAAATGAAAATCTACTATGTACATATTAAAAAAGTATTGCAAACAATAACATAA